TCTTCTCTTCTCTTTCCTCTCTCTTCTCTTCCCTCTCTTCTCTTTCCTCTCTCTCCCCTTTGGTCTCCGCGCCCGTCCCCCTTTCCCCCCCGCGCTCTTTTCCGTCGTGCCCTCTGGCCGCCCCTTTCCCTCTTGTCTGGTCGGGTCCCCCCTTGGCCGGGCCCCTCGCTTCCCCTTCTTGGCCCCTTCTGCTGTCCCCCCCTTTGCCCGCTCCCCCTCTTTGGCGCTTTGTTGCTCCCGGTCTCCCCGCCGGCGCTGCTGCCGGCGCTCTCCGGCGCGCTCCCTTGGCCTTGGGTCCGCTTCCCCCCGGTGTTCCTTCTTCCCTTTTTGGGCCCTTCGCTCGTGCTCCCCCCGCCCCCCCGCTTGGGCCCTCTTCCCGGTGTCCCCCCCGGCGTCGCTCGGGCCCGCCGTCTCCGTTGCCGTCGTTGCGCCGGTTGTCCGCTCCTTGTGCGCTGCCCTCTCCCGCCCCGTCGCTGCGTCTTTCCCTCGTCTTCTTGCTCTGGTGCCTCCGCTGCGGTCTCTCTGGCGCTCCGCTTGCCGCTGGTGCCGTGGTTGCCCCGTTCTTCGCCCTCTGCCGCTGCCGTCTGCCCCTGTGGTGGCTTCGCTCCCCGCGTCCCCCCCCCCGCGCTCTTCTCCCTTGCCGCGCTGCCCGGTCTGGTCGCCCGTCCTCTTGCCCGGCTTGCGTCCCCCTCGGCCCCCCTCGCCGCCGCCGCTTTGCCGCGTCCCGTCCCCCTTCCTGTGCCTGGCCCTCCTCCCCGCGGTGGCGGCTCTGGTCGCGGTCGTGGCCGCGGCCGCGGCGGTTCTCGTGGCCGCGGTCGTGGTCCCTTCCCCCCGGCGGCGGCCGTGGTCCCTCCCCCCCGGCCGCGGTGGCGGTCCTCCCCCCCCGGTCCCTTTCCCTTTCCTTGCTCCCCTTGTGGCCCGTCTGGGCCCCCGCTTGCCGCTTGTTGGTCTCCTGCGGCCCCCCTCGTGGCCCTCCCGCCCCCCTTGCTGCCCCCCTGCTGCCCGTCTGGTGCGCGTTCTGCCCCTTTCCTTTTGGCCCGCGCTCGTTTTTCTGCCGCTCCGCCCCTCTGGTTCTTGGCTCCTGGGTGTCGTCCCCCTCTGTGTGGGCCGCCCGCCTTGTTTTCTGCCCTGGCTGCCTCCGTCCGGTCTGCCGTGCCCTTTGGCCCTCCGTCCCCGGTGCCCCTTTTGGGCCCCGGTCCCCTCTCTCTTCCGTTGCCGGCTGGTCCTCCCCCTTTTCTCTCCGCTGTGTTCTCTGTTCCTGCCCTCCCCCCCCTTTGTTGCGTCTGGGTCCGTTGTCCGCCCCCGGCTCTCCGCTCCCTCTTGCTCCGGGGTGTTGTCCCCTTGCCGCTGCTCCCGGCGTTTTGCTTGCCCCGGTCCCTCTGTCCCCCCTCGCCTCTTTCCTTTGCCCCTTCCGCCTCCTCTCCTTGCTTGCTTTCCTTCTGCCGTTTGTGCTGCTCCTTGGTTCTGGCCTCTGCGGTTTGGGCCTTTTCCTTTCTCTGGCTTCCCCTCTCTTGCGCGCCCGGCCCTTGTTTCTGCTTTCCCTGTTGTGCCTGTCCCTGCTCGTCTCTGTGCGCTTTGTGTGCTTGGGCCGCCGCCTCGCGCTCCCTTTCCCGTGGGCCCGTCCCGGCGCGCTCCCCCCCGTTGGCGCTTGTTCCCTCCGCCCTGTGTTCGTTGGCGGTTCCCTCCCCTGGCGGTTGTCCGTCCTTTCTTCCTTTCCTTGCTGCTTTCCGTCGGCCCCCCTGGGTTTCCTTTCTGCCGCCCCCGTCTGCCGCCTGTGCTGTTTTCCCCCCTTTCCGGCTTTTGTTGCCCCGCCCCGTGGTTCTGCCTTCCCCTCTTGCGCCCTGCTCGCGGTCCCGCCTCTCTTGCTTGTGCTCCTTTTCTGCCGCCGCCGGGTCTTCCGCCCCCCCTGCCCGCTCGCTCCCCTCCCCCCCCCCCGGCGTGGCTGCGCGGCCGCCTCGGTCTCTCCTGGCTCTGGTGCGGTGCCTGTTGCCCTCCCCGCTCTGCCTCCGCCTTTTTGGGCCGCCGCTGTTGCTTGTGCTGTCTCTGTGTTGCCTCGGTGTCCCCCTCCGCGTGTCCGTGCTCCGCCCCCGCCGCCGCTTGGCGTGGGCGCCCCCCCTCTCTCCCCTCTCTCCCGGTTTTTGGCTGTTTGGCCTCTGCCCCTGTGCCCGCTCCCTTGCGCCCGCCGTTGGCTGCTCCCGGTGCGCCGTGCCTCTTCCTTGGTTCTCGTGCCGCTTCCCCGGCTTCTCCCCTCTCCCCTCCTGCCCCTCCCCGGTTGTTCTCCGTCGTGCTGTCCCTTTTGCTGCCTCTGGTGCCTGGGCTTGGTTCGCTCCCGCTGCCCGTTCCGTTGTTCTTCCTGCTTGTTGCCCCTCTTGTTGCCGCGCCCCCGCTTCCCGCTCCTGTCCCGTCTCCTTCCCCGCCCGCGTCGTCCGTTCGCCGCTCTCCGCGCGCGCGCCCCTTCCCCGCTCGCTTGCCCGCTTCTGTTTTGGGTCCTGCTCCTGCCCTGTCTGCTGCCGCGCTTGTTCCCTTTGCTCTCTTTGCCGCTTGTGCTCCTTTCCCTTTTGCGGCGGCTGCTCCCGCCCCTCCTTGGCTTCCGGCGCTGGCTGCGGCGCTCCGTGCCCTTGCCCGCCTGGTCCCTGGGCGTTCCCCGCTTTCCCTCCTGGCCCGCCGCCCCTTGGCGTGCCGTGGGTTTCCCGCCCGCCGTCCCCGTCCCCTGGCGCCCTTGCCCGTTTTCCGGCCCGGTTCGTCGCCCCGGGTTCCCCGCCGCCCCCCGGTCTTGCTTCTTTTGCGGTTTTTGCTCCTGTCCGTCGCCTTGCTCCCGTTCGCCTGGTTCTTTCTCTTGCTGCTCCCCCTGCTTGGCCCTTGCCTCCCCTGGCTGTCCCGTCTGCTTTTTTGCCTGGTTTTCTTGCCGCCGCCCTCTCTGTTGCGCCCCCTGCCGGCTTTCTGCCGCCCGGGGCGGCCCCTCCCGTGTCCCGGTTGCGCCCCGCCTTGTCTGGCTTCCCGCCCGCGCCTCGGGCGTGGTCTGGTTGCCTTGCCTCCTCTTTTGTTGCCCGTGGTTTTCTGCGCTGTCCTCCTGCCCCCCTTTGTCTGTCCCCTGCCCGGCTTCTGGTGCTCTTGTTCTCCTCTGTCTGTCTGTTGCTGCTCTGGTTTTTCCTGGCCCCCCTTGCCGCTCCTCTCCGCCTTCCGGGCGGCCCTCCTTCCGCGGTTTGCCCTGCCCTGCTCTGGGCCTTCTGTCTTCCTTTCTTGGCCTTGCGGTTGTTCCGCTGGCTGGTGGCCTCTTTCTTTCCCCGCCGCCGTCTGCTGCTGCTCTTTTGCCCCCGTTCCCCCTGGCCCCTCCCCCCCCGTTTCCCCTCCGTTCGCTGCCCCGTTCCCGGTGTCCCCCGCTGCGTGTGGTCCGCCTGTGCCTGTTCCCGCTTCTCCCCGCTTCCTTGGGCGTTTGCGGTCTCTGGTGGCCCCCGGCCCGCTCTTTCTTTTGGCGTTGGCCTCCTTCGCCGCTTCCTGGCGGCCCCCCCGCCTCCCCTTGGGCTGCCGCCCCGCGCCTTCTGCGCTCTGTCCCGGTCCGCGTCCTGCTGGCCTTTTTTCCTCTCCTCCTGCCGCTGTGGCCCTTGTTGGGTCCCCGCCCGTGCTTGGGCTGGCGCTGTTGCGCCCCGCCCCGCCCCTCCGGCTCTGCCTTCTCTCTTGGTTCCGCCCTCTTTTCTTGGTCTTCCCCGCCGCCGCCGCTTGTCGCCCTTTCCCCCGCCGCCGCCGCCTCTCTTGCCGCCGCCCCCTGTGCTCCTCCCGCCGTTTGGCTGCGGCGCCTTTTGGCGTTCTTCCCCCCGCGCCGGCCGCCCCTCCCCTCTTTTTTGTGCCCCCCCGTCCGCCCTTTCGTTGTCCCCCCTCCCGTCTTTCCTGGTCGCCGCCCCCCCTTGCTCTCCCGTCTCCCCCCTCCGCGCGTTGGTTGCTGCCCCCCCCTCCCCCTTGCGTCTTGTTCCCGTGCCTGTCCCGTTGCCGCTCTCTTTCCGCCGCCGTTGCCGCCCGCGCCCTTTCTTCCCTTGCCGCCGGCTCTTGGGCTGCCCCCTCTCTCCCCCTTGGTTTCCGACACGGGCGGCCACTTCTACTCCATCTTCTTTATTCTACTTTCTTCCCCCCCGTTTCGGTTTCGTATTGTTCCCCCCCCCTCCCGGCGTTTTGGTTTGACAGCTGGGGCCTTCTTGGGCCAGGCCTTGTCCTTCCCTGGCGTTTGCCTTCCATGGGCCTCCCGTGGACCCTTTCCCTCCCGTGTTTGGTTGACACGCCGCCTCCCTTCCGGCACTTTCCCTTCCCCTGTTTGGTCTCCCTGAGGCCTCTGCCCGGGCCTCCGTCGTCTCACCGTCCCCCCTGTCCTTCTTGTTGTTCAGCCCTTCCTTTCCGTTTCCCCCACGGCCTGGGTCCTTTTGCCGTCTCCCTACTCATTTTTTTTCCCCGGCTCTTCACACCTCCCCGGGGGCGGCCCTGGGCTTCTTCACCTTCGCACGTGCACCTGGGGCCTTGGGGGCCCTTCCCTTCCCCCCCCCCCGGCCTTTCCTGGCCTTTGGCCTTCGGCTGGGCCTTCCGTGGGCCGGGCCTTACCCCTCCCTGCCCCCCCCACCGCCCTGTCCCGTGCAGTACTGCCGCGTGCCTTACCTTCTCGCCCTGCCCTCTCGCCTCCCTTCGGCCTTCTTCCTCTCTTCCCTTTCGTCTCCTCATTGTTCTCCC